TCCTTCCCTCCTTCCTTCCTTCCTTTCTTTTTTTCTTTCTTTTAGCTTGATTTGTTTCTGAGTTACTCTGGGTAATGATATCATTTTCTCATAAAATGTTCTTTATGATAGTGTTTTTACTTTTTGGTAAAATTAAAGTTTATCGTATTTTTTTGTTTCTTTTTATTTCTTTCATTCTTTGTTGTTTTTCTTCCTCTTTCTTTTTGTCTATCTTTCTCTTACATACTTTTTTTTTCAAGGTTTCTTCAATTGTAGAACTCTGGTCTGCCAATAGCAAGTCAGTTGTAAGAAAATTGAAACAAAGGAGTTTAGCACCCAGACAGGTTGAATATTCATTGAATGGATTGGAAAACTAAATATTTTGATTGCAATCAAGTTTCTATTAGTTCAAATTACCATATTTCCTCATATTTAAGGCACACATCACATAAGAGAAAAGAAAAAAGATGTGAAACTCTGCTAGCAGAGTCTCTCCTCTTTTTCTCCCTTCTTTTAGGAGGGGAGGAGGGAGATTCTGAGAATGTAGAGCATTTCTTTTGATACAACGCCGTCCATTATCGTGGATGAACGAAACCAGTTTTAAAACCAGTTTTTAACTGGGGAAAAGTAGTGCGCATGAACAAACTAATGTAACACACCGTGGTGCCAAACGTTGTTTGACGAGAGTGGCTGTCAAAATCATGACAGCATTGCTAAATTGCACCACGCAGGTGCGACAAGTAAAACCTACATCAGCAGAGATAATTTTTCTCACTCCACCAAAATAAAAGGAAAATAGGCTTTGCTAGCAGGGAAAAAAAATTGATTCCAGGAAGATTTGAATTGCTGTATGTTTTGGAATATATTATGAAAAATATTCAGTGGGGAATAAAATACTATGAGTAGAGTGGGGACAGGCCAAATGTTACCAGAAGTGTTAAATTTCTTATCACCCAAGTATCTCCTCAACTGTTTATTTTTTATGATAAGGTATTGATAAAGTATTGATAAAACAGTGAAAATCTAGGGAAAAAGTACATGTATGTGAGATCAGAACATTGATGGACACATCGATGTGATGTAAAGGTCTTGTAACATTTGGTTTCTAGAAAGCATATTTTTTCAAAGTACATGAAATTTCGATTGTTCAATCTTTTAAAAACCTGATAATGCTACAGCCCACTCTATGTTTGGGTTACCTAGTTAATGTTATATTTCCAAGATCATCTCTTGCATTGATCCCAGAGAAATTGTTCTGTGGGACAAAACAATAGGCCATCTTTCCTTATCCAAAAAAAAAAAAAAAAAGGAAAAATTCACTGTTTTGTCCCCCAGAACAATTCCTCTCAGTCTATTACATTTAAGTGTTTCTCCAATTATTTTATTCCTTCCTTTCCAAAACTCAACATGCTAAATTCTGCCCTGTTAGTTATTGCTTGGAATAAGAACAGCATAGCAGCTGTTTTCAGTTTTCAATTTGAACCTGTTCAGAAAAATTTTAAATTTTGTTTAAATTACTAATTTTAGTTACTAATGTTAATACTTTGAAATTGTAGCTTGAAGCAATGAACTGGCGTCTTAACCTTCAGATGGCTCAAGCAAGCAAAGCAAAGCTCAAGCTGCCTAATGCTTTGTTTGAATTTCATTTATCTTCAGGAGAGGTAGAAATTTGATTTCTTTTTCATAAAGAATTTAAACATATTTGCTTAATAATATAACCTTTTATTGGTGCGACAGTTTAGAGAAATTAAAAACTGTGTTTTTTTTTTTTTTTCAGGAAAAGGAGAAAATCCACATAGAATTTTCACATGAAGAATTATATGCATTTTACAATCAGGTAAGCTGTGCTTAATGGGATCCCTGTGGTAATCCACAGGGTACCCATAGGGTCGTTTGAGCTTTTAACAGCTGAAAATGAAAGAGTAAAATGCCAGATGGGAGGAGGGGGACTTTGATGCATGCAGGCAATAAGAATTATTCAATAATGGAGTAATGGAATATAAACCTCTTACACAAACTATGTATAATGTTTTTGCTGCAACTCAACTAAACAATTTTTACCATGGGCAGAATGTTTTCCCATTTCTGACCACATTACATGACATTCTCTTGAAAATAAGATTATTTGTGTATGTTATATCCATATTCCATATTGTCTTCTCATGTGTAACCGTTAAACAAAGAAATGATACTCTAGGGAATGACATGTGGTCTGAAGATGGGAAAACGTTTTGTCCAAGGTGAAGAGGTCTACTAATTTTGCACTCTCTACTTCATCTGATTAATTTTAAGTAAAAAATAGAAAAAAAAACTAATTAATACTCTCTACTTTGCAGCTTGAAACCATCCAAAGTCAGTTGGATTCTCTTGGATAAGTACAGTCTTTCCAGTACAGTTGATTTTACAATGTCAAAAGAATTTTGCCCAAAATCACTACCTGACAATACCATAGACAATAGCATAAAATAGTAAGGAACCTACTGTACTGTACTCTATCACTACCTGACAATACCATAGACAATAGCATAAAATAGTAAGGAACCTATCTGTATTTAGTATAAACCTACCAATGGTCTATCATAAATACTGCGTGTTGATTGGCTGAGAACACTAGTAACCAAAAGTACTGGTTTTGAAAACTAAAACAGAAAAAATATTGCCTAATTTCATTCTCCTAATCTCATAACATGTCCATTTATTTGACTGATAAGTATTATACAGTAGGTTTATACTAAAACAATAATGTGTTGCCCCAGAAATTATATCCATACCCCCCACAAGGAGGAACTTTTTTAAAGACCTCCCCTTACCCCCAGAAATTCCAATTTTCTTTAATACAAACTCTGTAACTTTGTTTATTCTCTGACCCCCTCCCCCTTGGAAATTCCAAATTCCTTTGTGCGGTGAGTATGGATGATTTCTAGAACTACACAATTAGACCTCTTGCCCTCATGGACTATTGCCTCATATTAACCCATTTGGCTGCGAGTCTAATTGTTAAAGTGCACCTACACCCTATTTTTTTCTGATCTGGA